GGCTGGAGACCCCCCGGGCCAGCTCCAGCCCCCTGCTACTAATTGTGGTGACAGGGTGTTCTGCCACTCCGCACACACACGCCCCTCAGTGAGGGGCGAGAAGTCTCTTTTTTCAGCAGGAAGATCACATACTCAACTTCGTATCTCCATCGTTTACCAAAATATCCACAGCGGCGAGGAGAACGCGAAACTGCCCGAAGCCGCTCAGAAGACGGGAACGAAAGATCACCACGATGAGCATGACGGGTGTCGCAATAGAAGACCGGAGGAAGTTGCAAAGCAGTCGAGCGATCACGGGGGCATAGGTGAACATCTCCTCGACTCGGATTATGTCCGAATTCTGCACGTCAACAAGTGATTGATCCTGGGCTTGATGAGTGGAGAAGGACTCAAAGCGAGAAAGAATGCGTTGGTAACCTTGATGCTGCCAGTCGCGAATTGTCCACGCCTGACTGTGTTCACCAGTCCCACCAATGGGATCAGTTACCCGCTTCCACTCCCGAAACGAGTTGTCTGGTAGGTCAGGTACGGCTTCTTCTGGTTGCCACAGCTGAGGTTGTCCTGGACTATAGATCCGCACCCACTCCTGATCCTGGCAGACTGAATCTTCGATCCATGGGTGCTGCTCAGCGGTTCGGCCCGACGTCTGAGTTGCATCCTCGATGTCCATGCCGAAGTGAAAGACAGGGCGTACCGCGGGTTCCGATCCAGCTAGCAAAGAAACAGTCACCATGCACAACCATGCACAACCAGCAACTACACAAGAAAACTGGTCTGACAAGCAATGTACCAGGCCCGTGAAACTGTAACCACGTCGGCTGCGCTCCATGGGTCCAAGTTATGAATGGCTGCACATCTTGCTCCAACATGATTTGAACACTCAAACCCGCAAGTCGAAGAGATAAACGCGGTAGAAACCGGAGGAAGTTGCAAAGCAGTCGAGCGATCACCGTCAGAAATAGGGGGGGCATAGGTGAACATCTCCTCGACTCGGATGATGTCCGAATTCTGCACGTCAACAAGTGATTGATCCAGGGCTTGATGAGTGGAGAAGGACTTAAAGCGAGAAAGAATGCGTTGGTAACCTTGATGTTGCCAGTCGCGAATTGTCCACGCCTGACTGTGTTCACCAGTCCCACCAATGGGATCAGTTACCCGCTTCCACTCCCGAAACGAGTTGTCTGGTAGGTCAGGTACGGCTTCTTCTGGTTGCCACAGCTGAGGTTGTCCTGGACTATAGATCCGCACCCACTCCTGATCCTGGCAGACTGAATCTTCGATCCATGGGTGCTGCTCAGCGGTTCGGCCCGACGTCTGAGTTGCATCCTCGATGTCCATGCCGAAGTGAAAGACAGGGCGTACCGCGGGTTCCGATCCAGCTAGCAAAGAAACAGTCACCATGCACAACCATGCACAACCAGCAACTACACAAGAAAACTGGTCTGACAAGCAATGTACCAGGCCCGTGAAACTGTAACCACGTCGGCTGCGCTCCATGGGTCCAAGTTATGAATGTCTGCACATCTTGCTCCAACATGATTTGAACACTCAAACCCGCAAGTCGAAGAGATAAACGCGGTAGAAACCGGAGGAAGTTGCAAAGCAGTCGAGCGATCACCGTCAGAAATAGGGGGGGGCATAGGTGAACATCTCCTCGACTCGGATGATGTCCAAATTCTGCACGTCAACAAGTGATTGATCCTGGGCTTGATGAGTGGAGAAGGACTCAAAGCGAGAAAGAATGCGTTGGTAACCTTGATGTTGCCAGTCGCGAATTGTCCACGCCTGACTGTGTTCACCAGTCCCACCACTGGGCTCAGTTACCCGCTTCCACTCCCGAAACGAGTTGTCTGGTAGGTCAGGTACGGCTTCTTCTGGTTGCCACAGCTGAGGTTGTCCTGGAGTTTTGATCCGCACCCACTCCTGATCCTGCCAGACTGAATCTTCGAGCCATGGGTGCTGCTCAGCGGTTCGGCCCGACGTCTGAGTTGCATCCTCGATGTCCATGCCGAAGTGAAAGACAGGGCGTACCGCGGGTTCCGATCCAGCTAGCAAAGAAACAGTCACCATGCACAACCATGCACAACCAGCAACTACACAAGAAAACTGGTCTGTCAAGCAATGTACCAGGCCTGTGAAACTGTAACCACGTCGGCTGCGCTCCATGGGTCCAAGTTATGAATGTCTGCACATCTTGCTCCAACATGATTTGAACACTCAAACCCGCAAGTCGAAGAGATAAACGCAGTGAAAACCGGAGGAAGTTGCAAAGCAGTCGAGCGATCACCGTCAGAAATAGGGGGGGCATAGGTGCACATCTCCTCGACTCGGATTATGTCCGAATTCTGCACGTCAACAAGTGATTGATCCTGGGCTTGATGAGTGGAGAAGGACTCAAAGCGAGAAAGAATGCGTTGGTAACCTTGATGTTGCCAGTCGCGAATTGTCCACGCCTGACTGTGTTCACCAGTCCCACCAATGGGATCAGTTACCCGCTTCCACTCCCGAAACGAGTTGTCTGGTAGGTCAGGTACGGCTTCTTCTGGTTGCCACAGCTGAGGTTGTCCTGGAGTTTTGATCCGCACCCACTCCTGATCCTGGCAGACTGAATCTTCGAGCCATGGGTGCTGCTCAGCGGTTCGGCCCGACGTCTGAGTTGCATCCTCGATGTCCATGCCGAAGTGAAAGACAGGGCGTACCGCGGGTTCCGATCCAGCTAGCAAAGAAGCAGTCACCATGCACAACCATGCACAACCAGCAACTACACAAGAAAACTGGTCTGACAAGCAATGTACCAGGCCCGTGAAACTGGAACCACGTCGGCTGCGCTCCATGGGTCCAAGTTATGAATGTCTGCACATCTTGCTCCAACATGATTTGAACACTCAAACCCGCAAGTCGAAGAGATAAACGCGGTAGCAACCGGAGGAAGTTGCAAAGCAGTCGAGCGATCACCGTCAGAAATAGGGGGGCATAGGTGAACATCTCCTCGACTCGGATGATGTCCGAATTCTGCACGTCAACAAGTGATTGATCCTGGGCTTGATGAGTGGAGAAGGACCCAAAGCGAGAAAGAATGCGTTGGTATCCTTGATGTTGCCAGTCGCGAATTGTCCACGCCTGACTGTGTTCACCAGTCCCACCAATGGGATCAGTTACCCGCTTCCACTCCCGAAACGAGTTGTCTGGTAGGTCAGGTACGGCTTCTTCTGGTTGCCACAGCTGAGGTTGTCCTGGAGTATAGATCCGCACCCACTCCTGATCCTGCCAGACTGAATATTCGAGCCATGGGTGCTGCTCAGCGGTTCGGCCCGACGTCTGAGTTGCATCCTCGATGTCCATGCCGAAGTGAAAGACAGGGCGTACCGCGGGTTCCGATCCAGCTAGCAAAGAAACAGTCACCATGCACAACCATGCACAACCAGCAACTACACAAGAAAACTGGTCTGTCAAGCAATGTACCAGGCCCGTGAAACTGTAACCACGTCGGCTGCGCTATATGGGTCCAAGTTATGAATGTCTGCACATCATGCTCCAACATGATTTGAACACTCAAACCCGCAAGCTAGCTAGTTTGCGAAGCTGTGTGGTAAAACGCTGATGCAGCATGTCAACATCGCCAAAATATTGATCCTTCATGGGCGCGGTCATGATGTCAATGTCGAAGTCTGCATTGATACGTGAGAACCCATCTACCATTACTACATGTTCATGTGCACGATGTAGGAGGTGGTCATCAATGTCTGAACAGCGACACGGAAAAGATATGTCAGGAGTCCACCTGCGTTGCCATGTGCGGTAGTTGTAGATCCTGTCCCCCAAGGTACTCAAAACTGCGACACCTCAATCTTGAGAGAATCGAATCCGACAAGATGCAAGTCAACGCAAGTTCAAGCCAAGCACAGATCAACACGCGGTCATGCAGCCACCAGCAGCAATTGTGAGACTTAGCTATGATCTGACGGCTGTCTTCCCTTTAGTGAAACCTCGTTCCTGGTTAAATCAGAAATTCCGCTGTTCTATGATAAGCACGTTGAGGTCAAATTTTCCGACAGAGTCGGCCCGGGGTCACACAATGGGTACACCCGAGGATTCCCCACGAATGGGGTGTACACACTTAAACTCCAGATGGAGGGTGCTAATCTTTCGAGTACAACTGATGAGTCTCGAGTACAACTGATGAGTCTCGAGTACAACTGATAAGTCTCTCATCGTTCGAGTACAACTGGTGAGTCTCGAGTGCAGCTGCGGTTCAGCTGGTTTTGGAGAAAAGGGCAAAAAGGGGACCTTTGTTTGGGGTGGGCCCGCCAGCTGCCTTGACAATGGCCCAGGCGCAGCCCCGCAGGTACGTTTGGACCCGGACACCGGGGGGCGTCTTCGTTGGCTGGAGACCCCCCGGGCCGGCTCCAGCCCCCTGCTACTAATTGTGGTGACAGGGTATTCTGCCACTCCGCACACACACACACACAAACACAGACACAGACACAGACACAGACACAGACACAGACACAGAGACACACACAGACACAGACACAGACACACACACACACACCCTAAACCAAACCCTAAACCGTACACCTCTAAACCTAAACCAACCCTAAATATACCCTAAACCAATTCTAAAACCCTAAACCACCACAACCCAACCACAGGACCAAAACCACAGGGGGGGGGGGGGTACTTGTCTGACCCATGACCATTGGAGGGGGGGGGGGGGCTGGCAACGCTGTACCATATATACACACACACACGAACACAGCCCCGCACTTCTGTTTCACCCGCATCCATGTGCGGTCAAGATCTCATTCATTGAAAGTCCCGGCCGTGAAGCAATTGACCGTTCATCTCTTAGCTCTTCAAAACAAAGGCCTTCCCAAACAACCCGACACCTTCCAGCTTTTGCAACCCTCAGCATGTGATGTCTTTCCACATCCAAAGCCTGCAAACCACACCCTGCCCAAACCGCCCAATCAACCCATCTCAACCCCACATACACCACAAATCCGCAAACCTCAAGCTGTCTGAAAAGACCTCAAAACCCCAAACCAACAAAATACCCAACCCTTATAGAACCCCCCAACCCAAAACCTGAAACCACACACTCACACATACAAAAACAATAACACAAAAAACAACTCAGGTTGCATCCCGAATAAACCCCGGAGCTGCGAACCCTCCCCCGCCGCTCCTTTCGAGCCTAGGGCATAGAGCCCAGAGCTTTCAGAAGTGTTAACACAAAACAGACACTGTTCTTGTTCTTGTTTCTGCTTCTTGTTGTTGTTAACAAAAGGGGAAAACAACAACAAAAAAAAAAGAAGAAAAACTATGAGTATCCAAAAAGTATAAGTCTCAACATCTAAACATTTCCCTAACGCCCCTCCCCTTCCCCTCTCCCCTCCCCCGCCCTTCCACCCCAAGCACCCGCCTTGTCGGCCTCGAACTTGGCGTCCATCAGCCACTGGTTCTGCGGGCCCGGCGTCAGCTCCAGGCCCGGCGAGGAGGGCGACGTGGGCTCGGACAGGCCCTCCACGGCATGTAGCCGACCTGGCGCCATAGCCCTCAGAGTGTGCGTGTGTGTGTGTGTATGTATATGTACATATATATATATACATATATATATATATACACATTATAAGTATGTATATACACATATATGTATGCACTACAAATGTAAATATTGGTCTACACTATATGTAAATACGTGTGTATACTCATACTATGTGTGCAACACATATAGTTATATGACACGTGTATATATATATATAGATCGTGTATATATATATAGTATGTATATACAGTAGGCACATAGTGTCTGTCGCGCACAGATACTATATATATATATATTATAGCGTGTTGATCTGGGAATTATTCCTCAAAACTAGCTTTGCCCGTGCCAATAAAGAGTACCCCAAAAAACAGTCAGATTCAGGAGGGTCATGGGCTATTACGGGCTACCCCTTTACTTAATCTAGTAGTGCCAAAATATTGACAAGCCCAAATTAAGTATGCCAAGACTTTACCTTAGATTCCCAGTATGTAATTTAGTATGGTCAAGTCACAGTAGTATTGCTAATTCTTAATCTAGTGTTGCCAAGACTTAGTCTTAACCCTTGAGCTGGCAAGGGCTTAGATCAAACCACCCTTCTTTAAGCCGGAAAAACAACGAAAACAGCTTCCGGGGGAAGAATGTCAGCCAGCCCTGTCCCTTCAGAGACTCTGTTTTTTTTTTTTATCGATTGTTTTCGTTCTGTGTTTGGTGCTTCTCTTTTTGGTGCTATTCGACTTTGTCCAGAGCCTGAAGCTTCCAGATTGCCTTTGATAGTGCGTCTTGTTTTGCCCCAAAGCTCCGCAAAAAGGCAGAAACACTGCAAATACATGTGAGTTCTGTCAACAGTTGTTTCTTCTTCTTCTTTTTTTTTTGGGGGAGGGGTAATATATACATATATATATATAGTTTTTCATATATTGTTCAAGGTATGCATCTCGTCTTCCCCACAAAGGCACAATGAAACCCCAAATATCGGACACTAGAAATTTCCATGACTGGCTGGCAGCACTTGCCACATGACAATGATTGTGGGAGGCCCCAGGGAGGTGCAAACATTGCAAAAGTTACTGTAAAGTAGGGGAAGAGAAGGGGATTCCCGGAGATAGCCGGCAAAAAAGAGAGGCAGGTGTGCATGTGTGACAGATGCATCTGACCGTTCGACCGCACCGAAAAAACGAAGACAAATCCGCCGGCCGCGCCGAGACCTGTCAAGCCCCAAGAGGTCGGATTCGCGCATGCTTGTAAGGCCTGTCGGGCAGCTCGGGCAAAAGCGTCACTGACCCAAAGAAAAGCGGGCACCCCCTCAGGACTGAAACCTGAGGGGGCGAGTTGCGAATGGTTTGAAGCCAAAACCTCGTGAGATGCGGATGGATCGGTGCATTGCATTTGTTTCCTCCGAAGCCGAGATCGGCTCTCAAAACTTGTGGGCAACGTTGAAACCAACCAAACAGGCACCCCTCCCCCCCAGCACATCCACATGGCTTGGACGTCAGCCTCAAGCGAGTCCGGGGCATCTGCTTTCGCAGACTTTTGGTGACTAGCCACAAGCTGCTTGATCCTTGGGTACACAACAACAACAAACCGCTCCAGAGAGTACGACGGCAACCAGCGTCGGTCGATTTATTTTCACCGCACTGCCTCAAGTGGGTGGGATCGTACCTGTTGGTCGATCTGTTTCAATCTCTGGAGTCGGTGTGCGTGTCTCTCAGACACCACTGACTCGAAAGTAAAGTACAACAAAATAAAAGGTAAGCAAATGCAAGTGCATGCAAACCCAAAATGTTGTACAGCAGAGTTTCGAAGAGGGAGTGGACGTTCTCCCGTCCTCTCACTCGATGCTATAAATGCAGACCGACAGGTACTGAGGGCATGCAGTGAAAACTGGTGAGGGTGGGTGGGAAAGAAAAATTTGGCTAATTCGCCAAAATGGCGAACGGAGCATGAATCAAGCAGTGTCATCCTGCAGGCACTCAAGGTTCGAATCTGAGTGTGATTCAAATGCCTTCCGCTATCGGTTGTTACTTTTAACACAAGTGTTAACCGCAACAACAAACCGCTCCAGAGAGTACGACGGCAACCAGCGTCGGTCGATTTATTTTCACCGCACTGCCTCAAGTGGGTGGGATCGTACCTGTTGGTCGATCTGTTTCAATCTCTGGAGTCGGTGTGCGTGTCTCTCAGACACCACTGACTCGAAAGTAAAGTACAACAAAATAAAAGGTAAGCAAATGCAAGTGCATGCAAACCCAAAATGTTGTACAGCAGAGTTTCGAAGAGGGAGTGGACGTTCTCCCGTCGTAGGTCAACTCCCGTCGAAGGTGAAGCCGAAGGCGAACGACCTAGACAAAAGGCACGTTGAAGGCATCCTTACATCGATCAAGTCTCCTTACTGTGGACAAGATTCTCACGGGACGTGGAAGTCAAGTCGGGTTCAGGAGGAATGATTCCTGTGGAACTGTTGGAGTTCCTTTATGTCGTCAAATCCGACGGCATGGGCGAACTCAATATCGCCAATGATTTTGCACGTCCGTTTATGTAGAGCGTGCATGGGGGGTTCCAGAATCTGCCAGTGGTGCTTCGAGGCAAGGGACATGTCATGTCGACTGAAGGGGTCGGCTATATTAGCATGTGTGGGCACACGGGCAATATGCAACTGCAATTGCTGTCGGTTGTGCCATGTCCAATGTGCACCGAGCAGGCAGTTTAGTGGTTGGTGTTTCCCAACTCCCCGTCTGATGGCGTGTTTGGCCGCTTCGTTGTCGCACAACTGGAGGTATGTGTCAGTGATCCATGGTCGAAAGATCACAGGAGCGATCAACGCGGCCCATGCCTCGAGGAAATAAATGGCGTTGGTGCCAGTACTCACTTGTTGGAGTAAGTTAGGGGGTAGTGCGCCCGAGACCACGCGGGTCCTTTGTGCCTGTGGGCTGAACAGCACCGCTGCCCATCCGTTGTCGTGCGACCAATCGGGTGGCAGACAATCCTGATCCCCTGCGTCCTTGACACGCCAGACCGTCTCGCCCTGCCGGCAGAACGCGTCGGTGTATATGATTGAAAGGTCTCTGGGCCTGGTGGACAGTGGGACGCTGCGGGGTGAGCTATGTTGCAGGATATTCAGGAGGCACAGAATGGCAGCTCGAGTTGGTTTGTCGATCCGGTCGGAAGTGCTGTGTGCTTTGTGGTATAGGGCGGCTAACGCCGATCGCCCTACTCGACCGAACAGGTGTCCGGTGACAAAGTTGCACTTGCCGGCAGTGCGTCGGGCGGTGTCGTTCGACATACCTCCCTGTTCGAGACACTGAGACAGGGTGTGTGACAGTGTACGGACTCGGTCTGGGCACGGTCGAAGGGTTGCGTGTGTTGCCGACAGGTCGACATAAACCCCTTGTATTTTGTGAGAGGGCGCCGGTGGTTGTTCCTTGGATGTCTTCATATGAAATCCAAGTAGTGAGTTGAGCTTGCTGAATGAGGAGAAGGAACTGGTCGCGATGTGACTGGGTTGTATGGCCCCGTAGTCGTCAACGTAGTGCAGGGCAGGTGTGAGTGTTAGTACGCGGGCGAGTGCTGTGAGTGCATCGCCGAAGCGGTTGTAGCCCCAGACGCTGGCAGCGGAGCCGAACAGGAGCACGTGGTGGTGCCAGAGAGTTGGGCCGTCGGGTGTGATGAGTAGCACGTATGCTACCTCCGGTTGTGCGAGGGGCAGTTGACGGTAGGCGCCGTCGTGGTCGTGTCCCCACACATGTAGCGGGTGTGCGTCGTCGTGATATTGTCTCGCACATTGGATGTAGTGGTCGGGTGTGTGATGGTAGGGTTGATCGTGCATAGAGCACGTCTGGTTGTGGCCGCTGCGGCGCCAGTCTTCTCCTCTCCGGACTTTGGGTTTTCCGTCCGATCCGGTCTGTTGTATGCTGAATGCGACTGCCACAATGGGATCGCGATGTGGGATAGGAAGGAGCCGGCTGGTGTGGGGGAAAAGGTGCAGGGGTACTGTGCGAGAGGTCCAATGAGTCGGTGCCTCGAAGGGGCCGGCCATACGTCCCTGGGCCACTTCCCCCGCGATTTCGGTGGCCATAAGAGTCCAGTGGTCGTCGATCTTGTGTTGTTGTAATTTGCGCTGGATGTAGGCTTTGTTGAATGACCTGAGTTCTGCAAGGTCACATGGGTCCAGGTATTTGTGGTCGTGGCGAATGTGCCAATTGACTCCGGGTCGCAGAGGCCCCAGGAGGTCGAAGCCTAGAGAGAGTTCCTCGTGCAGGAGTTGTGCCTGTGGGTAGTTAAGCAAATGTAGCAAGTGTGTCATGAGTGGTACCTGAGTGATCATCTTCGGTTGTCGATAGGCTCGCTGGCAATGTGGGGGCAGCTGTTCGAACCATGCAAGTGTATCTGTAGTCAGGTCATCGCGAAGGTCCGCGATGTCGAGTAACACGTTGTGCTGTAGTTGTGGCAGTTGTGGTATGGTCCTTTGCATTGCGATGGCCCACAAAATGGTCGGGTCGCAGTGCTGGGGCTGTTGCAGCGAGGTAGCGTGGTGTTTGGCCCAGGTCAAGTGGTCCTGCCAGTCGTTCTGTGGCATATGTAGCGTTTCCGATGCTCTCGGAGGTGGTCCCCATGGTCGTGGGTTGTGAAGCCAGAGGTCGACCATCATTCCGAGGGATCCGCGACGTACCCGCTGCGTGGGCGGGGGAATTCCGAAGGCTGGCTGTAGTAGCAAAAGGAATAGGATCCACATGGCTGTGGGCACATGCCAGGAGTTTCCCAGCATGGTGTTCCTGGTCCGGTCGGTGTTGTGTGGTCCCGTCCAGCCGCGCGGGAATCCCATCATTGCTTCGCGGTGCTCGGGTGTTGCGACTTGCCAGTCGTGTCCGTGTTTCCGGACCAGGTATTTCTGTTGGTATTGCCACGGGGCGAATTGTTTGTGGTCGGCTTGCCACCGTTGCCATGTGTCGTCTGGTAGTTGTTGGCTGCGTGGTGGTGGGCGGCCTTCGTCCGTACTGGCCTGGGTGGTAAGGCAGTGGAAGAGTTGTCCGTGTGTTAGGACACTCGGCGGGTCGAAGTCCCGGATGTGACAGTCTGGTTGTAGTTCGGCTGCAATGGGATTGAAGAGCACCGGTGGGAACAGCTGAGTGTCGAGGGAGAGTTGCCAAGGTGTATGCCTGCTCAATGTGGCAGGCAAGGATTCCCAATCGACCGAGGCCCACCAGATTCTGGGACGAGAGATGATTTGGCCGTCGGCCGCGTCGATCAGGACTGGGCGTAGGCCCATGGAGTGGGACAGCTGGTCGAAGTCGTCGCGTACCTCGGGGTGAGGCACGACATTCTCTAGCAGGGTGAGCGATTGATGTGGCCATCTGTTCTGAATGTCGTCGCGGATGGAGAGTGCGGTGTCGAAGAGGCTGCCCTGTGAGCCGGCCCGGCCCGGTTGGTGTTGTTTAATGTTGGAGTAGTCCTTGCACGGTGGGCCACCGGTGAAGAGGATAATGTGTCTCTCGTGATTGGGTATGTCCTGGATGATCGCAGCCAGTTGTTCGATGTCAAAATCTTCTACGGCGCCCATGTGCGTCGTGGGGAAGAGTGAATGAGGTAGCTGATTGCAGGACTGATCGGTTTCCCACCGGAAACAGTGGGAGACGTTGGCGCCCAGTTGGTGCAGGGCAAGTGACACTGTGCCGATCCCGTCGAAAACTGAGATCAGGATAATGGGCGTGTGTTGTATGAGTTGTCTGGTAAGATGGAGGCAACGCGCCGGGTCGGCTCCAGGGGACTGGTCCCCTGGGCCGTGCTGTCCCTAACGCGCCTTGTTCTTCCCGTGGGATTTGGTGCCTTTCTTGCCTTTCCCGGACCCCTTCTTTCCTTTGGGTGTGTCGCCCTTGAACGAGGGTCCTGGGGTTGTAGGCATCGAGGGGATGGCGGGGTTGGCGAATTGGGTTGGTCCCCAGGTCGCGTATGGCTGGTTGTTGTATGGGTACGAAGTGGTCTGGTACCCTTTGTTGCCCCAGGTGTGCTTGCCTCTGCCCTTGGGTTGCCGATACTGGTTACTGTTGTTCTGTGGACGTCGGGTCTCTGTCCGTGGTTGTTTCTTGGCTGGTTGCGAAAGGATGTCGTTCATCGTGGTCGTGTCGGCCAGTAGTTCCTTGGTAGCTTTGCTGAAGGTGGCCCCCGACCGCATCTTCATGGCCAGTTGCCATGTGAAGGTTTCCCAGGAGTCTTTGACTTGGAGCAAGCGCTGCTGGTGTTGACGGGTGATGCGG